ATATATATATATATATATATACGTGAACGTGAAAATGTAAAACGTGAAAAACGTGAAACGCGAACGTGAAAAACATGAAAAACGTGAAACGCAAACGTAAAAAACGTGCAAAAACGTGAAAAACGTGAAAACAAGACATGTCGACAAAACGAGAACGACTACAGAGATGAAATGTTATTTATTCCCCATAATCTCTTTTTCAAAGGAATCTATTTATCTTTACGACATCAGATAAAAGTATATGTTTTCTAAAAGGTATATTTCAAATGCTATCCTTAGTAGCATAGAAAGCGAAGAGACTGCAAGTACATTCTGTTAGTAACGTGTGCCCAACGTGCACGTAGAGCACAGTGTGTTAAGAAAAACATTATTGCGAACGAGACATGATCAAGACAGCGATTATAAGTGACGAGGTGGAAGATGTCGTTCACGTTCTCGGTGATCCGCATGGAAAGACGGATATGCAACGAGTATCGCCGGTGCAGTTTCTACGCGATCGCGAACTAGGTATACGCGGAACTGGTGAACGCGTCGTGAGACAGGGAGTCGTTGTCAACCAAGATTCCGTGTGTACGTGGCCTCATCACATGAAACGAAAAGTGTACATGTGGTTTCGCGAGAAAGCGTACGACGACTACGAAAGGTACTGGTTCGAGTACGAATGTAGGAATAAAAAACGGAAATATCAACACGTAGATGATCTGGAGAACGAGTACTACTGGGCGGAGCAAATCGTCAGAAAGCTCGAGTGTACCAATCTGTACATTACAATTCCCGCGGGTAGCGAGAGGTACGTCGAGTTGTTAATGATAGACCCGTATACCTACGGCGAGTGGAAGTATCCAGCCGCTGTACAACGACTGCTCGACGAGCACAGGCTGCTATGGCGGCGTGAATTTCACGAACGTCTGATGACAACGAACGATATTTTGGCGAACGATGGCGATATTTTCTGCAACGTTTGCAACGTCCTTCGAGAAGAGTGCATGTATCAGGGAGGTGAGGTAGAGGAATACCTTATTCAAAATACGGAACGATCATGCGCATGGTGCTGCCAAGTCACATGCAAGTGTCCTATAAAAGAGTGTGACGCAATATAGAGAAACATGGAACTTTAAAAACTACTTTTTATTTTTCCCTTCCCTATAATTAAGATTAATATAACATAATAATAATAATAATAATAATAATAATAATTGAACATTACTTATATGATAATAACGTAAACGTAAACGTGAAAATGTAAAACGTGAAAAACGTGAAACGCGAACGTAAAAAAAAACGTGTAAAAA